TAAGGGCATGCACAATGTGCCGCGCCGTGCGGCTGTTGTCGCTCTCGTGTTCCGGGTCAACGCCAGCTGTGCAGGCGCAGATGAAAGAGGCACGGGTGAGATGGAGCAGAACTGTCGACACAACACCTCTCCACAACAACCCAGTCTTTCCTGCAAACACACACACACACACAACTCACGTGTTCGTTGCTGTAGAAGGCGAAGAATGTCCTCCAGGAAGTTGCACAGCACAATATCTGATCCAAAAGACCAAGCACAGGCGACACACACATGAGGCGAGGCGAGTCAAGGCGAGTCGCAAACACGCACACACACCAACAAGTTCATGAACATTTTTTCATCACAAACACACACACGCACACACACACACACACACACACACACACACACACACACACACACACACACACACACACACAAGTATACACACACACACACACAAGTATACACAAGTATACACACCCATCCCCCCACCGTCTTCGCAGCTGAGGAGGAATGTGTAGATTGCTCTGCACTCGCGGCGGGTGATGTTGCTGCGGATGCACAGGAACACAATGTCCATCATCAGCCGGTGGATCGACCGCAGCTCTTCCCGCTCTTCAGCCTCGCTGGACACAACACCATCACCACCATCATGACTCTTATCACCACCATCACCACCACCTTTACCACCATCACGGCCATCATCACTGCGGCCCACGGAGCGGGAGCGCTTGGCGACGCTGTGTCGAGACACCTCGCGAAGGTGATCCAGCATGTACTGCACACCGTATGTGCTGCGGAAGAATGCCGTGTGCTGCTGCGCAAACCCTTTCACAACCTGCAGATGCGACATGCGCACGGCATACTCGCTGCGCTGCCACAGGTCAAAGTCAAAGAGAATCTGCTTGCACAATGCACGCGTGAACTTTGCGTCGGGGGAGCCGTGATTGGTCATGTCCTGGATGGCCTGCAGGGCAACAGAACCAAGGCGCGCGTACTTGGACTGCTTCAGCACAAAGTTGACGACAGCAAACAGGTGCGACTGAATGGCGTGCTGCTTGTTGTTGGGATCCGCCAGCAGCACGCTCAGCAGCAGGAAGAACTCGTCCACGCTCTGCTCGGCAATCAGCGCAGCGTCCGCCGCCTCCTTCTTGAAGCGCTGCGCCTGCACCGCTGACAGCGTGTTCAGCCGGCTGCGGGCGTTGTCGCCATCACCATCACTCTCATCCTTGGTCCCAGTCTTGTCCTCACTCCCCTGAGCCGCATCGTCACCTCCCCCCACGCCTTCCCTTCCTTCCTTGTCTGTTGCCACCTCACTTGCTTCATGATCTTCCGCGCTCCGCTCGTCATGTTCCCCTTCCTCGCGCTGTTTCTTCCGCTCACCGCCGTCCCCTTTCTCCTCCTCCTCCCTCTTCTTCCTCTTCGCCGCTGCCGCCTGCATGCGATTCTTGAAGGCGTGCTGGCTGCGGTGTGCGGCAATGCGCTTGCACGTGTCATCAAGCTGCGCCAGGAGGAACGTGAGGATGTGCACACCGCCCAGCGAATGGATCACCGTGGCCAGGTTGTGGTGCACGCACCGCGTGCCCGTCGTGTTTGCGACGTGTGCGGCCTTCTGCGAAGCGCCGCGTGCAAGCAGCACTTGGTCAAGCAGCTTCTTCCCCTGACACATGGACGCACTCAGTGACAGCTGCACCTTTGCTGTAATCTCGTCTTGCAGCAGAGCGTGCACAGCCGGCACTTCACGAGGGGGAACACCAGCCAACTGCTGCTGCTGCTGCTGCTGTTGTTGTTGACTACCACCACCCCCAGCTCTTGATCGGCTGTGCATGGATGACGAAGACGTGGTGGACACGATGCCACCACCAAGCGGTGACGGCGACGACAGTGAGGCAGACGCGCCTCCACTGCCCTTGCTGCCGCGTGCAGCACGACCAATGCGGCTGCGGACGGCGTTGCGTGCAGCCATGACGTCCAGTCGACCCGACAGCGATGATGTCCGCCCGCCGCCACCAGAGGACGAGAGGCGACGTCGAGCGTCGTGTCCGCTGCCACCACCACCACCACCACTGCCCGTGTTGGTGTGATCGCCGCTGGCCGTGTTGGTGATGACGGACGCCGTGGCGGCGCTGCTGATGCTGCTGCTGCGCACGGCGCGAACAGAGCTGGTACCGCCCTCGTCAAACGTCTGCACAGTGAAGCCAATATCGTCAATGGAGGTGGACGTGGCGACGGCCTGGAGCTCCACAGGTTCATAGAGGCCCATGTATTCGGCCCCAAGCGCCTGGATCCCCGTAAGCTGCTCCTCCGTCAGGGCATCCAGCACTTGCACGCGCGCAATCTGACAGCGCAGTGCCATGATGATCACGTCACCGTCACCGCCACTGCCGCCGCTGTTTGGGCCGTGGCCAGCAGACACGCCCGTCCTTGCATCCGCACTGCCACTGCCAGTGCCCGTGTTGGTGGCATTGTTGTTGGTGTTGGCGCTGGTGTTGGTGTTGGTGTTGGTGTTGGTTGGCGGCAGGCAGCCCGCGGCGATGATGGCGCGATCAAGTGGTTCGCGAATGGCGGGCACGGTGATGAAGCACGTCTCCGTGTAGCGCCCGTCAATGTACAGGTGCACCTGGTCACCGCGCGTGGAGAGCAGGCCACCAGGCTGCACCACCAGCGCGAGGGAAATCCAGCGCCGCACGGGCACGTGGCGGTCGGCAAACGTGTGCGATTGCGTCGTCAGCTTGCCGCCGTACTTGCGAATCGAGCGAAGCGCTGTAGGTGGAGAGATTGGGCGGTGGGAAGGAGTGTGAGTTGTGCGTATTGTGATGTGATGTGATGTGATGTGATGTGATGCGTGTGTGTGCTGTGATGTGTGTGTGTGTGTGTGTGTGTGTGTGTGTGGGTGTGTGTGTGTGTGGATGGAAGCTGCTGTAGACGACCACGGCATGCGTGAATTGGAGCATAACTCGCAAAATGACGTACTGAGGTGCTTGTTGGTGAAAAACGCCTCCAGACCACGCCTGCATGTGACAGCAGAGTCAGCAGTGCACATAGGTGAACCCGGATGAGTACAACGTGCAGAATGGTGAAAATGCACAAACCGATATGCGGTGGACACGCACAGTCATATGTACGTGCCGGAGCAACAACAACAACAACAACAACTTAAACAACAACAACAACAACAACAACAACAACAACTTAAACAACAACAACAACAACAACTTAAACAACAACAACAACAACAACAACAACAACAACAACAACAACAACTTAAACAACAACAACAACTTAAACAACA